GGAGGTATGAGTGAGAGAGAGAGAGAAGGAAGTGTCCAACGAACGGCCTTTGCAAACTAATAGTAAGAAGAAGTGTTGTGTGGTCTTGTTGACCTCTTAGCCTTTAATTTGTGTAGACTTGTCGTTGACACTCTCATATACACATGGAGATGAAGTCTTTATTGGGATTTGTATGTATTTAAAGGCTAACTTTGTTCTCATTCATAGATCCTAACAAAATTAAAATTTCCATTTTTCCAATTTTATAGCCCAACTTTCTTTTTATATATATAATGAATTTATTGATTCAATTTGGCAGAGCAAGCTCAACGGTGTTTTGGTAATTTGGTTTATTATTGTTCTTTCGCTCTTCTTTTTTTGTTGGTGTGAAGAGCAAGCTCAATGGTTATGAAATTTTAATGTCTTAGCAAATAAACTAAACTGAAGTGCAATTGAATCCAAACTGAATTAACCAAAGTTTATTTACAAATAGTATATATACAGAAAATGTATTTAAGTATATTATTTTATTCACATTTAGTTTGAAGATAAATTTCGATGTTAATACATATTTTTCAAACCGTTGAAAAACCAAATGCTCAAACCTAAGTTTTTCCACGAAATAGTAAGGATAGGCTAATTAATTTCATTTATGTCAAATGGTTATATAAACAAAATCTACATTTCATATACAAGAAGTCTCATGTCCTTTAAATATTAAACATATACTTTTGGTTTATCTCCACATAGATATTAAAACATATACTTTTGGTTTATCTCCAAATGGTTAAGCACACTTTTTGAGATTTTGCAGACACTACAAGAAAACATTGAGTGGCCGACAAGCCTATTCGTCGGTTAGGCGTCGGAAAAGGGTCTAATTGACGGAAAACCGAGGAACAATTTCCGTCGGTTCTATCTTGTCGGTAAATCGATTCCGTCGGTTTTTCGTTGGTTTTAACCAACGAAAAACTGACGACCCTGAACCGACGATTAACCGACAGTAAACCGTCATATATTCCCGACGGAAAACCGATGGTTATACCGACAGTAAACCGATGGTAAACCGAGTACAGAAAAACCGACGCCAAACCGATAGGTTTTTCCCAAAACCGATGCCAAACCGACGGGGTTTTTTGCCCATAACCGACGCCAAACCGACGGGGTTTTTTGCCCAAAACCGACGCCAAACCGACGGGGTTTTTTGCTCAAAACCGTCGCCAAACCGACGGTTTTTCATTATTAAACCGACAAAAAACCGAGGGGAGTAATTTTTCACTATTTTCCCAAAACTATTAATTAGTTATTGATTTAAAATTATTTTTTTATAAAACAATTAAATGAAATAATAGAATTAAAATTATAATTATTATTAATAATATTTTAAATAATAAATTC